CGGCTCCCGCTCCTCCTGCCCAGCGCCCGCTCGTGCGCCCCTCTTCTGATCACCGGCTCCCCTGCCACAGTCCCGGTCTTGCCTTGCGCTTCTCCCCGGGGCTCCCTCGCCTCTCGGCATTTTTCTCGACCCTCGCCTTCTCCATCCTTCCTCCTTATCTCTCTTCGCCACAGCCTCCTCTGTTCCTTTTCTCACTCACTTCGCTTGCCTATCTTTCCGTCTCCGCCTTTCCCCCTCCACTCTGTTTTCTCTTTCCTGACACCTCGATTCTCCCTTCTCCTGGCAGGAGGTTCCTGGTTGCCCACACCCTCCTGGTTCAGGCGGGCAGTTCTTCACTCCTCAGTCCTCATGCATCTTTTGAGCTTCTCCTCGATGCTGGGCACCATGCTGGCTGGGCACTGTACTGGCTGCTGGGGAGTCAGAGATAGATGTGACCCCAAACCCACCTCCAGGGATATCATAACCTCGTGGGGGCGAAGATAACCATAACTAGCGTTTAGTGAGTTCTTCCTAAGTGCCAGAGACACTGCAGAGCAGTGTACAACCGTATCAACTGCTATTTCTAATGATAGCTAATACGTATTGAGTGCTGTGTGCCAAGTCTGTTCTAAGCATATTGCATAAATTACGTCGTTTGATTCACACAGTAATGCTATAATGTGGGTAGGTACTCTTAATAGCCCCCACTTTACAGATACAGGTACTGAAAGGGGTTAAGAACGGTTAAGTAAGCTTTGGTGCCAGAGCTTGAACCCAGGTAGTCTGGTTCTAGAGTCAGAGCCCAGACACAACCGGGAGGTCAGGGTTCTGAGTCTGCAGGCTTAATGGCTATCAGAGGTTCAGACAGGTGAAGTAACTGGCCCTTGGTCACATAGCTAATAGGTGAAGCAGCCAGGATTCGAATCCAGGTGTTAGGTTCCAAAAGCCAGGGCTTAACTACTCTGTGCTACGATGAAGTCCAACCTGGGGTAGGAAATGCAGTGGGAGGAGAGTGGGCCTCCTCCGGTAGCGGAGAAGAGGAAGAAATTGAGGAGGCTATCCAGGGAGGCATCAGGAAGGAGGCAACTGCAGGAGCTCCATATTTGGGGTCCCTTCCTTCTGTTTGGGCCCTGCCTTCCATTGGCTCTCCTGTGGGAGGAGATTTGGCCTAGAGTCTTCGGGGTTGGGTGACTCCTTCCTGAGAGCCTAGATTGACACTTGACCTCGCAGCCTTTGTTGGGGAGGGTACCTACGCTGGGCTGACGAGTTGTCTTGTAGGAGGGCTTCAGTGCTCTGGGGCAGGAGTGCTGGGGCACTTGCCACCCTCCACTCCTGCCCTCACCACCTGCCTCCCAAAGTATCATGAATGTTTCCAAGGCTCCTGGCTTCCCATGGACCTGTTCTTGTAGTGGTAGTGACACGAGGCAAAGGACCAACCCTCTTAATAGTCACCACATGCAGCACCTACACACATAGGTGGGGATACAGAAATGCAAAAGACGTAGGTCCTGCTTCATCTCATCTATAGTTGTGAGAAGAAGATACAAGGCCGAGGAGGCAGAAGAAAATTCAGCAGACAGAACCTGGGGGTGGGACGGAATATCTTTTGATGTCCCGGATGACCCAGTTGGGTCCAGGCAGAACAAGTTGAGGGCCTTTCCTTCCCCTTTTTCCTCTTCCAACCCCTAGCATGAAGAGGTTCTGCTGATGACCACTCAGGAAGCGAAGGATCGGTCCCCGCAGTGTCAGGCAGCATCATGTAGTAATGGTGTTAAGAGCCTGGACTCTGCAGACAGAAAGAACCAGGTTCAAATACAAGTGCATACTCACTGAGTGACCTTGGGCAAGTACTTAGTCATTCTGACCCTCCATTTCCTTGTTTGTAAACTCGAACCTCCTCAGCAGTTATCGTGAGTAGCAAACAAAATAATGCATGGAAAGAAAGCCTTCTGCGCAGTGTCAGCACATAACTAGGCACCTAGGAATGTTAGAACTCCAAGGGATCTGTGACTTTAGGGTAAAAATGTGGTGTGTGTTCTGAAAGCTCCTTTGGATACCTTGATTCTGGCTCTGGCTTGGGACTCTGAGCAGCAATAGCAGCAATTCTGCCCTCTGCACTCCAGCTCACCCCTCGGCCCCCCTCCAGGCTTGGCAGGGCCTCTGCACTCCAGGGGAGGTGTGGCCTTGAGCACTGGCGATAGGGGTGGTGTTGGAGCTCCCCAGTGGTTGTACTAGGTGCTGGTTTGCTGGGCAGCTGGTCTCCTGTGCTGTTCTTGGAGTTCCAGTGCCTGGCCTGGACAGAGAGAGGCATTGTTCCTGCTGCTGGTTATGTAAGAACTGCATATGGTCCGAGAGCAGGGTGAGTCTGTACCTGGCAGCTCCAGGGGCTCTAAGGGGCAGAGGGGCCAGGGTGGAAGCCTCCTGGAAGAGGAGGATGGGCAGTCTTAACCTGGCAACTCTGCCTTGGGGACCCCTTGAGGCTCCCTGACATGGAAGTCATGATGAGATGGAAGAGGGAAGCCCTTCACAGAAATGGTGCCCAGGTGGGGGCTGTACCCTGGGGCAGTCATTCAGGGAAGCTCTCCCTCTGAAGCCAGGCCATTTGGTTACCCTGGTTCTGCAGCCCGAGAAGGGAGGAGGCTGTACTCTAATGTGGTGCTTCTTCCTGATGAGGCTGTTCCAGGGCCCAGGCAGCTGGTGGAACACCTGGCATGCTGGGCATCTGTCCATTTTGGAGCGTCTGCAGTCTGTCCAGGCATACATTTCTCCCAGCTGATGGAGGGGACCATTTGTGTAAAATAACGTTTATTTGTGGCTTGTTGTGAGCAAAGGCCTGCATATCTCATAGATCAAACTTGTTAATTATGTTATCAAATTCTACATTTTTCTCTTTTTTTTATTGTCTACCTCAGTGGTTCTCCAAGTGTGGTCAGGTCTCTCCCGAGGGTCCTTAAGTCCCTTTCAGGGAGTTTACAAGGTCAAAATTATACATAATTCAAAGAGCCACTCAAAGTACAAGATAGCCCAGTGGGTTTTAAGGTAACTGGTTAGAAAAGTTTATTGATATAGTTTCAGATTCTACATTATAACTAACATGTAAGGAACTGCCACATGTCAATTTTTTGGTAGTATCAAAGAAGACTATCCACACTATCTGAAAAGGCTATTAAAATACTCTCTCTTCCAACTACATTTCTGTGTGACACCCAATGTTCTTTATATACTTCAACCGAAACAACATGTAACAACGCATTGAATGTAGAAGGAGATATGAGAATTTGTCTTCTGTTAAGTCAGACATGAAAGAGATTTGCAAAAATATAAAACAATGCCACTCTTTGTTTTGTAAGTTTTTTCTATTTTGTAAATATAATCATATTTTCACAAAAATTTATGTTAACATATAACAATAATAACCTATTATATGTTACTTAAATGACTTTTACTTAAATGAATTAAGTAAAATTAATTCATTTTAAAAGAATTAATAAATATGAATGAAAATTTTCCTTAGTTTTAATATTAAACATGGTAAAAATATTGATAGGTGTAAACCCATATAAATAAAAGCTCTTTAATCTAAAAAACTCAATAGTTTTTAAGAATGTAAGGATGTTCTGAGACCAAAAAGTTTAAGAGTCCCTGGTTTAGTTGTACTGTTCATTTCTTACAGAGGTGTATTAAATCTACTTGGATTGTGGGTTTATTAATTTTTCCTTTTCCCTCCTCCTTTGAATCAGTTTTGCTTTATATCCTTTGAAGTTATGTTGTTAGGAGCATGACATTTCATGATTATTATATGTTCTGGTTGGATTGTAATTTCTATCTGTATGAAATCTGTATGAAATAGGCTTCTTTGTTCCTTTTAAGGCATTAGTCTTGGGAATAATGATTCCATGGACCCACATTTAACCTGAGACTGCTATGGGCCAGGCATACGTGGGAAAGAGTCTGGGTACCTGCCCGCCTGGGGAACGTGGACACTCGAAGGCAATGGAGTGCAGCAGGAAGTGTCTGGGCTTTGAGTCAGGCTGCCCGGGGGTGAATTCTGACCACTTCTTAGCTGTGCATCCTTGGACAGATTTCTGTTGGACTCTGAATCTTACTTTCTTCATCTGTAATGTGGGGTTAATCCCATTTATTTACTGGGTGGTAGTGAAAACTTACTGAAATAAGGGATGAGAGAAGCACCTAGCAAAGTGCAGGATGTCTGTGATCAGGGGTGTTGCAGAGCCAGGAGGCCTGCCCCATTCATGCCTCCTCACAAGGCCCCTGGGAGGACAGTGCCTGGCAGTGGGCATGCACCAAGCTTGGATTCAGAAGATCTGAGTTGTGCTTTCCGTTTAATAGCAAGCCCCTCCGCCACACCCTCAGTCTCAGTCTCCTTATCTGCGAAATGGGGAGCACTACCTGTGCCCTCCATTCTCCATGAGGCTATCTTGAGGATCAAATGAGATCATGAAAAGGAAGGAGGGGGGTTGGGATGATGATGGAGGTGAAGTTGACTTTGTCCTTGGCCTGAGGTGGGACATCTGTCCCCTTCTGTGAGGAGGTCCTTCTAGCTGGCATGCCCAAAGTGGTGAGGTTGTCCTCATTTCAGTCTCCTGGAGTTATCTGCCTTTTACCATCTCAGCGTTCCCCCACCGTGACACCTGTCTTCACAGCGGCTGCTGCTGAGCACTCAG